ACACAAAAAATATTCTCCCCCCCGTGGGGGGGGGGGGGGGGGGGGCACTGCAAGGGTAGGCTTTGTGTAATTCCATCTAAAAAAAATAGGTATATTGAAGCTTACCAGTGGTGGCTGCATTAGTTTCCATTTTTCAGGCAAAGGACATTTTCAGCAAGTACAGAAATGCCTGTTCATCTTGCCAGAAATACCATATCCTTGTCACTTCCTGTGAGCATAAAAGGAAGCACAACATCCATATCTTTCTTTTGTAAACTACTAGTCCAATCGATCCATCATGTAATGGAGGTGAACAGAGAGAGACGTCGAGAAAGTCTAGCCTATGTGACAACCATGGCTGCCACCATACATGTATTGGAGAAGTGAGTGTACACATGAAGAGATGGGAAGTGTGTTAGTTGCAGGATTACCAGGTGAAAATAAAAGGAAAAAAAGCCTGAATAAAGAAAACTAATGCAGCCACCACACCTAAGACTGGTAAGCTGCAATATATATTCGATTTTGGGGTTGGATACCACAAAGTCTATTTAGGTTATGTGGTAATTAAAGCATTCTCAGTCATTTTTTGGCATATACATTCCTAATTATCTACATTGCTGGGTGCATGGCAGGGTTGTGTCCACTGTCTAGGTACATTGTGCTGGAAGGTGTTCCTCTTTCTCTTCTCAGAATGTTGGGAGGCATGGATCTATCTGGATCCTCAGATATCTTTAATGCCATCAGGTTGGAAGCACAGTTAATTCCACATACAAAATATTTAACACATAATCACATCGATCTTGTGCTGAACTTGTGGAACCCATTGCCGGATGATAGCAAATAGTTCAGGGACGGTTGTTTGGGGGTCAAACAAGATTTCCTGACACGCCGGGTCATTAGGGTCAAAGAATGTGAACGCTGGGGTGTAAGAAAAACAACTGTCAATACAATTTGGTCCTACAAATCATGTGTTGTCTAAAAAAGAAAAGGTTGCTCACATCAACCAATGAGATTCTGCCTTTCATAGACATCTCAACTCTCCCGGATGTTCCGGGAGTCTCCTGCTATTAGATAGCGGCTCTCGGACACCCGGGGGAGAGAAACATTTTCTCCCGGAAAGGTTTACTCTGCTAGATCTAGCAGAGTAAACCTTTTCCTGCTCTGTTTTTTTTTTTTCTGACATCGGCAGTCAGAAAAAAACCCAGCATAGGAATGAATAACTGGATTGCTATTGGCTATTTCAATTTGCAATAGCCAATAGCAGACTAGCTATTGCACCCACCCACTGCTGCTGTCAATAAGCAGAGGTGGACGTGAAGTTCTCCATCAGTTCCTCTTCTGCTGACTGACAGCGGCAGAGGGTGGGTGCAATAGGCAGCTTGCTATTGGTTATTGCAAATTGAAATAGCCAATAGCAGCCTAGCTATTCATTGCTATGTTTTGTTTTGTTTTTTATTTTATTCTGACGGCAGCAGCTGTCGGAATACTAAAAAAAAAAACAGCAGATAACAAGGGAAGCAATAGCAATTGTTGTTGCACCCCCCACGGGAGGCTGGTTTGACAGAGGGCACCTCCCTGAAATGAGAAGGGCACCTCCCTGAAATTACTTATTTCAGGTTGGGATACCTGTTTTCATTCTCCCAAATTGCGCTGATAACATGAAAGGGGAAATCTGATTGGTTGTTGTGGACAAGAACAATTCCTTCTGCAGACATTTTAGATCTTCACCAGATCTTCCATACAATACAAAAGCTATGATGCACTAGGACAGATAAATAAAGACTCCTTTGCTGATTACCATAATCCTTTGGAAGAGGAGCTGGGGCAGAGGGGTGAACCACGGGCCTTTTCCTTCTCTCTAGGATGGGGCTCTGGAAATCCAGGGGGTGCTGCTTTTCCTCCGGGGCGCAATCTAGAGGATCTTCTCTAGTCATGGTTCTCTGTTCACTGATGTTATAGAAGTGAAATGATACATACCAATGTTAGATCTGCAATTTACTATCAGTCTTCATTTGTAAATAGGGCAATTAGGCAAATTGTAGAATGGTCAAACAACCTAGTACAGACCAGTAATACTACATTAATATACTTAGTGGATCAGTTGCATCATCCCAGAACAGACCAGAATCATCACAACAATGCAATTTGTAGATCAGTCATACCATCCCAGTACAGACCAGCATTCTTACAATTAGGCACTCTGATGATAAGCTACAAAACCTTGTATAGACCCAGTACCATTTCAATAACACAGTCCCAGTAGAGCGCAATATCATTCAAATCTCGCAATCCCAGTACAGACCAGTATTATTACAATTAGGCATTCTCTGGATCATTCACACAATCCCAGTACAGACCAGTATTATTACAATTAGGCATTCTCTGGATCATTCACACAATCCCAGTACAGACCAGTATTATTACAATTAGGCATTCTCTGGATCATTCACACAATCCCAGTACAGACCAGTATCATTTCTAAGGCAGTCTGTAGATTGGTTACACCATCCCTGTACAGACAAGTATTATTACTATAGGATACTGTATTGTTCAGTCACACAATTCCAGTGCAGACCAGTGTTATTACAATAAAGCACCCTGTGGGACACAACCCCGGTGCAGACCAGTGTAATTATAATAAGACACTCTGTTGATCACTCACACAATCCCAGCGTAGATTAGTATCCTTACATTGAGGAAGTCTTCATTTCAACCGTTTAGAGGCCTGTGCATTTGCAGTTAGGCATGCTATAGTTTAATTATACCATCCAGCAATTATTTTGGATCTTTTTGTGGTTGTGCTTTCATCCTTTTATCTTTAGATTTTTATTTATTTAGAACATTTAAAGACAATAAAAACATACAACTCCTGTACAAATCCGTATTATTATGACAACAGTATCAGTTTGTGGTCCATTCATGTAGTCCCATCACACACAACTGCCATTGTAAAAAAGACACTCTGTGGTTCTGTGGGTACTGTTATAATCTCATTGTAGATTTATATTTATTAGGGCCTGTGTCAATGGCCTTTGGTTAGCTTCAAGCGGGAATTCCATTCCATTCCCATAAAGTCTATTTCAAAATAGATCAAATGCATGTCAAGAGAAAGTCAATTACAAGTCAAGCACACCTATCAATAATTTCGGCCTTAGTTGCTGACTACATAAGGTCCTGATGAAGGTCCTCTCACTGTGTCAGGTCTAGACTAGTCTAGGTGATAATAATAATAATAATTGTCTCCTTGTGCAACCAATCCTTTTCTCAAATCAGTAGGGCACATTCAGGCATATTATATATATTGCTTCAAAGTGCAATAAGAATATGTAAAGTGCAGTAACCCATAGGAACTATTCAACTGCCCTCTTTGTTGTCATTTGACTACAGTAACATCATACAGTACATGATTGGCTTCTATGGTTTGTTGAGCCTGGTTCTTCCATAATAAATGAGTCTGTATATGGATAAATTGCTTATTAAGTAATACAAATCACAACACAATTCCAGTATTATTACAATAATACATTCTATGGACCAGTCACACAATCCCAGTACAGACCAGTATTATTACCATAAGGCGCTCTGTGGATATGTTATACAAAACCTAGTATAGGCCCAGTGTCATTTCAGTCACACAATCCCAGTACAGACCAGTGATATCTAAATAAGGCACTCTGTGGATCATTCACACAATCCCAGTACAGACCAGTATTATTACTAAGACAGTCTGACGATCGGTGACACCACCCCAGTACAGACCAGTATCATTACTTAGACAGTCTGCAGATTGGTGACACCATCCCAGTACAGACCAGTATTATTACCATAAGGCACTCTGTGGAAATGTTACACAAAACCTAGTATAGAGCCAGTAGCATTTCAGTCACACAATCCCAGTACAGACCAGTATTTTTACCATAAGACACTCTGTGGACCAGACACACAAAACCAGTAGAGACCAGTATTATTATCATAAGGCACTCTGTGGATCAGTCACACAATTCCAGTACAGACCAGTTTTATTAAAATAAGGCACTCTGTTTATCAGTCACACAATTCCAGCATAGACCAGTATCATTGCCATAAGGCACTCTGTGGGTCAGTCACATAATCCCAGTACAGACCAGTATTATTACCATTAGGCACTCTGTGGATCAGTCACACAATCCCAGTACAGACCAGTATTATTGCCATAAGGCACTCTGTGGATCAGTCACACAATCCCAGTACAGACCAGTATTATTGCCATAAGGCACTCTGTGGATCAGTCACACAATCCCAGTACAGACCAGTATTATTGCCATAAGGCACTCTGTGGGTCAGTCACACAATCCCAGTACAGACCAGTTTTATTCAAATAAGGCACTGTGTGGATCTTACAGTCCCCGTACAGACCAATAATATTACAATAATCACTCAGTGGATGAGTCACACCATCTTTAGTAGAAACCAGCACAATTAATATTAACCCCACTGAGACCGAAGTACAACTTTTTCAAGTCCTCTAGAAAAATGGTCCCTGCTGTGAGCACTTTAATGAGCCTTGCAGCAGATATCTTGGAATAGATGTGTGTTCCACATCAATCTAAGAATCTCCGGCCCAATGTCAAGCAGGAAAGTGAGTCACGGAGTTATTGCCAAGGTTACTGACACATACTGACGCTGCTAAACTTGGTCTTGGCATCTAATTAAAAAAAAAAAAGGCTGGCCACAAAAGGGTTAAAATAAAAGGCACCCTGTGGATCAGTCACACAATCCCAGTACAGACCCGTATCATTACCATAAGGCACTCTGTGGATCATCCACAATCCCAGTACCGACTCATATTATTACCATAAGGCCAGGGGCGTAACTTGAAATCACAAGTCCCCATAGCAAAATTTTGTATGGGGCCCTGTGATTTCTAGTAACGCCCCTTGCAGAGCCCATCTGAGATCCCAAACAGCTCACCTGAGAGTGACCCTGCAGAGCCCACCTTAGACTCTCTAAGCCCACCTTAGACGCTGCACAGATCACTGACAGGTTGCCAGTGATCTGAACAGTAGCACGTTCCTCCTCAAAGCCGCCAGTGACAGCCAGTAGCCTGCGATGCCATAGCGACGTCTGGCATCAGAGGGACCGTTTTGTCCCTTGTCCTGGTTGGGCCCCCCTGTGCCCGGGCCCAATAGCACCCACCTGGGTCGCTATAGCGATAGATCCGCCACTGCATAAGAGACTCTGTGGATCATTCACACAATCCCTGTACAGACCAGTATTATTATCATAAGGCACTCTGTGGATCATCCACACAATCCCAGTACAGACCAGTATTATTACCACAAGGCACTCTGTGGATCATCCACACAAACGCAGTACAGACCAGTATTATTACCATAAGGCACTCTGTGGATCATCCACACAAACGCAGTACAGACCAGTATTATTACCATAAGGCACTCTGTGAATCATGCACACAATCCAAGTACAGACCAGTATTAATACCATAAGGCACTCTGAGGATCATCCACACAATGCCAGTATAAACCAGTATTATTACCATAGGGCACTCTGTGAATCATGCACACAATCCAAGTACAGACCAGTATTAATACCATAAGGCACTCTGAGGATCATCCACACAATGCCAGTATAAACCAGTATTATTACCATAGGGCACTCTGTGAATCATGCACACAATCCAAGTACAGACCAGTATTAATACCATAAGGCACTCTGAGGATCATCCACACAATGCCAGTATAAACCAGTATTATTACCATAGGGCACTCTGTGAATCATGCACACAATCCAAGTACAGACCAGTATTAATACCATAAGGCACTCTGAGGATCATCCACACAATGCCAGTATAAACCAGTATTATTACCATAGGGCACTCTGTGAATCATGCACACAATCCAAGTACAGACCAGTATTAATACCATAAGGCACTCTGAGGATCATCCACACAATGCCAGTATAAACCAGTATTATTACCATAGGGCACTCTGTGAATCATGCACACAATCCAAGTACAGACCAGTATTAATACCATAAGGCACTCTGAGGATCATCCACACAATGCCAGTATAAACCAGTATTATTACCATAGGGCACTCTGTGAATCATGCACACAATCCAAGTACAGACCAGTATTAATACCATAAGGCACTCTGAGGATCATCCACACAATGCCAGTATAAACCAGTATTATTACCATAGGGCACTCTGTGAATCATGCACACAATCCAAGTACAGACCAGTATTAATACCATAAGGCACTCTGAGGATCATCCACACAATGCCAGTATAAACCAGTATTATTACCATAGGGCACTCTGTGAATCATGCACACAATCCAAGTACAGACCAGTATTAATACCATAAGGCACTCTGAGGATCATCCACACAATGCCAGTATAAACCAGTATTATTACCATAGGGCACTCTGTGAATCATGCACACAATCCAAGTACAGACCAGTATTAATACCATAAGGCACTCTGAGGATCATCCACACAATGCCAGTATAAACCAGTATTATTACCATAGGGCACTCTGTGAATCATGCACACAATCCAAGTACAGACCAGTATTAATACCATAAGGCACTCTGAGGATCATCCACACAATGCCAGTATAAACCAGTATTATTACCATAGGGCACTCTGTGAATCATGCACACAATCCAAGTACAGACCAGTATTAATACCATAAGGCACTCTGAGGATCATCCACACAATGCCAGTATAAACCAGTATTATTACCATAGGGCACTCTGTGAATCATGCACACAATCCAAGTACAGACCAGTATTAATACCATAAGGCACTCTGAGGATCATCCACACAATGCCAGTATAAACCAGTATTATTACCATAGGGCACTCTGTGAATCATGCACACAATCCAAGTACAGACCAGTATTAATACCATAAGGCACTCTGAGGATCATCCACACAATGCCAG